CGAGTATCACTTTATGTCCCACAGTCCAGTCCAGTCCCTGTCTGAAGAGTTGGCCTCGGAAATTGTTTTAGTTCTGGAGTGATGGAGAGACCAGGGGCCATGCTTTCTGGGGCGCCTCCAGTCTTAGTCAGACCATTAAATCTGGTCTTCTTACTAGTGGGTCAATAAATTTTTTGAGGTTTTCGTCTATTTTAGGAATTTGGGTTATATATACATATTTTGGAAAGGATTGTGGCATAACCATGTCCATATCCATCAAAGATACTTTGAAAGTCCTATTTGTGGTGAATTGTGTGGTTAATTTTTTTTTTTCCCAGCCAGAAGGCAGAGGTGTTGAATTAATTCTGTTCTGAGAACCTCAGGAATGTTCTATCTTCAGAATTCATTTGGTTAAAACTTTAGTTTCCAGCTAGCTGTGTTCTCCGTACACTGAATTATATACTGATTAAAAACCTTTTCCACTGGTTTATAACTCAATCACCTAAAGCTTTTGGCTTTGCCAGTTGAGAACAGAGCCTAGCTTCTTTCTAAAGGAGTGTTAGGATTCCATTTTAGTATTGTTTCCTAGTTGATGTGCTAATGTTGCTTGCCTAGAATCATGTGGAGTTGGTAATTTTACTAATGGAGTAAAACAGACTTCCTTTTATGTTCAGAAGTAGCAAGAAGCTGTACTCTTCTCCCCACCTCCCAAGAAGGGAAGTTAGTTGATGCTGGAGGAAGCAGAGCATTGAGTTTAATGTAGTGATTAAACATGAAAGCCATATATCAAATCTCAGGAGAAACATGCTTTTCAAAGAGGCAGAGAACTGTGGAGCATATTGCATGATAGGCTATGTAAACAGAGCCCTGGAGGTCAGTGTGTGGATGCAAACCAATTAAATAAAGAACTTACTGGCTTTGCTTTCTATCATTCGGATGGGGAGGATCACAAGTTAACATGCACAGGGTTGAAGTGTAAACTTCGCTTGAATAAACTAGGCACCTTTGGAGACTTCATTAACTCTTTCAGTCCACTCCCAAGATTTTTTTTTCTTTAACCAAGGTCCCTAGAAGTTTAAAAAAAAAAAAAATCCAGAATAAAAATGCTCTCTTGACCATTCTATACATACCTATCGGCAAAGGTACGAGATGAGAAGAATGGAAGAGAAAGCAGAGGAGGAGCTCTTGAAAAAATCTGCAGTAGTCAGATTTAAAGAACATGCACATGTCTTCCAAAAATAACCCATTTGGAAAAGCAGAGTTGTTGCAGAATGACTGAAAAAAGATATTTTTCTCTTCTCCTGAATTTCGAAATATAAGGCAAAGATGTAGTTGGACTTTTAATAGTTGGAATTGTAATAGTCACTAACATAACATCAACATATTGTTACTTCTGTTCTATTAAAATAGAATAGCTTTTTGACCTAGAAGAACCTGAATCCTGTAAGTTAATAATTGTGCATTAAGGACTGTCCATAGTCTAATTCTGTGGTCCTAACCTTCTCAGGCAATGTTTGGGTGAGAAAATGAAATACCAAGTTAAATGGTGTAGTTTCATGGTCCATAAACATTCAGAGATTTTTTTTTTATGTTATAGAGTCATGTTGGCTGAGAAAGTAAATAAGCTTATGTTTAGTGCTTGTTGATTCTGGGCTGCTTGAAATAGCTGTACTAAGGAAATGGGCTCATAGAACACAGCAACTTAAAGGTATAAGATTTCATGAAAGCAAATTATGGAGGATTAAGAAACCTAATGAGCATGGTTTGGTGTGGAGAGTAGAGGCGGGGAGCTTACTGTTAAATAAAGCCCAAGAATGTAGAAGGTTAGGAGATTCTAAAAGACACGATAATAAGAGGCACAACAGAATATAATTATCCTGAAGGGGGGAATAAAAAAAAAAAAAAAAACTTCCAAGAAACAAAAAGCAGCTAGTGTCACTTTTAAGATCTATAGTTAAAAAGGAATCTATACCAGGGTAAGGAAATCAAAGAATATAATCAGTTAAAGCTTGAGGC